TTTGCTTATGTCTGTAAAAATAACTACCAGGAGGATAAACAAGTGACTATAAATATAAGATTACCTAGAGAAGGCAGGGTGGGGGGAAGGGGGTGAGGAGATTGGAATGACAGCAAGAATTCCATGTTAACCTTTCAATATAGTTTTGAGCAATTTGTATCTGTATTAAATATTCAAAAAGAAAACTATATTTTATTTTATTTTATTTTCTGAGACAGGCTCTCATTATGTGGTTCAAGCTGGCCTTGAACTCCCTATGTAGTCCAGGCTGGCCTCAAATTTGCAGTGATCCTGCTGCCTCAGCCTCCCGAGTGCTGGGACTACAGGCATCTACCATCCATCTGAGAAAACTATATTTTAATGGAAAAAAAAGTTCTTAAATTTTTGGGGCAGCTCAATAAACACATTAACATATCCTGGTCCCTTTTACTCAGTCTGTTCCTACACATATACAGAGGCATGAGTCTAACTGTCTACACATCTATCCCTGTTATCCATTCAGTATTAAGCTCCTACTGTATGCTGTACCCAGAACCATTTCCAGAGGATACAAGGTGCACAGACTATGTTGGGGGAGGGTGGAGAGACTGCATTTCAACTCAGTATCTAAGTACACAGTATCGTGGAGCAACATCTTGCCTGGCCTGGGAGACATGGGAAGAGACCACCTGGAGAGAAGACATCCAGTGAGTCTTTGGTACCAGTAAAGGAAGAATTTTTTAAAAGTTGAAAATTACAGGAAATTCAAAGTTTGAAGTCAAAGATTGAATTCAAATCCAAAGTTTGACTAGAATAGAGCCAGGCACAGTGGTGCATGCCTGTAGCCCCAGCTACTCTGGAGACTAAGGTGGAAGGATCACTTAGGCCCCAGTGTTCAGAGCCAGCCTGGGCAGCACAGTGAGATCTCATCTCCGAAAAAGTCCCCACCCTCTTCTGGACAAAGCTGCCTGGGAACGTAGGCACGTCCAGTCATGCGTGTGCCGTGTGGCTGCTTTTGCGCTGCCTGCAGAGGGGAGCAGTTGCATCAGAGACCGTGGAACCTGTGAGGCTTAAAGCATTTATTATCTGGGGCCCTGGTGCACAGAAAAGGTTTGCTGACACTGTTGCTGCGGAACCCTGTAGATCTCATTTCTCAAATCAAGCGTAGCCTGACTGCAGAGCTCGGGGAGGCTGGAACAGAATTGGAATTAGAACCCAGGGAAGCCACACTTCTAGTCCAAGTTATGTTCTGTCATATCACAGACATCTCATAACAAATCTCTGTCTCTGTCTCTGTCTGTCTCTCTGTCTCTCTCTGTCTTTACAAACACACACCTCAGTTTGCAGGGTAGGAAGGGACTGGGTGCTGTAGGTCCCCCAGGGAAGAGTAGGGGCAAACACAGGGAGGTCCCAGAATTTTACCTTCCAGAACACCCAGAATCCATTGCGGCAGCTGAGAAGCATCTCACCCATAAGGCTCTCACCCACGGTAGAGGACAGCTCCGTGCTTCTACATGGGAGACGGAGGAGAACAGGGATGCAGAGGCATCAGTAAACGGAGCTGGGTGAGGCCAGGGAGATGGCGTGTCTCCAGGAAAGGAGAGGCCTGTGTCCCTGCTTTTTCCCCTTGGCTCTTCTGTTACTTCCTTTAGGGCACACTTTCCGTGCACACATCATGCGTGCCTTGTTTCTTGTGACTCTCAACACTGACGCAAAGCAGGTCCCATTCCTCCTTGTTAGGTGAGGACTGGAGAGGGGCCGTGTGCACACAGCTGGTCACTGGGAGTTCTTGTCTACCACAGGCCTTCACTCCTAACCTCTAAGGCAGGAGTATCTGGGGAAATGAGGTGGGGGAGAGGTGGAACAGGCCTAGGAGTGGGAAGAAAAGGCCTGAGCCATGTGGCTGAGAGATACCAAGCCCCAGGGCCCTTTTCTGCTTGCCCCAACCGTTCGTGCTTTTCCATGGGCCCATCCACCTCTGTCACTTAAATTCCTGGGGTCTTTTCCTGTGTGGGTCCAGGACGGGTACCCTGGGTGCATGATTAGGGTCTGTGCAAAACCCAACTCCATCCAACTCCTTCAGCGTCCTTAAAGCTGTGACTCAACTAACAACCTTACCCCCTCCTTCCATCCAGGTATCACCAAAGTCACTCTGGCTCCTCCCCTTCTTTATTTCAATGGCTGACAGACTCAGCATCTTGAGGCTCACTGCCGTACTTGGGCCTTCCCCTGCTTCCACCCAGCTGGGGGTTAAGGTTTATGGGCGCCCTGCCTCCTCCAAATTCCCAAAGCGCTGTCAGGGATCATGGCTGTCTGCCTACAGGAAGAGAATCCCCCTGGGCCTTGTGGTGACCTATGTCCCAACACAAAACACCAGCCACAGGTCAGGCGTGGTGGTGCACGCCTGTAATCTCAGCACTCTGAAGGCTGAGGCAGGAGGATTGCCATGAATTTGAGACCTGCCTGGGCTCCGTAGTGGATTCAAGGCCAGCCTGAACTGCATAGCAAGACCCTGTAGCAAAAAACAAAATAACAACAAAAGTAGTGGCCCCGATGCCATTGCCAAAGCCAGAAACTTAACTTCCTGCTATCCCTTTGTTTACATGCATGAGAGGAAGACGTGTGGACACAAGGGAGCACAGAGTAAGTGCTCACCAAGGGTGAGCTCTCCTGTGGTGGATCAGAAAGGCTCCTAGCTCACCTCCCGGAGAGCCTCCAAATGCATCTGCCCTTTTCTCATCCACTACCACTGTCCTGGTCCAAGTCCCAGCCTCTTTCACCTGCACCTCATTCACCTGCAGTAGGGTCCCTCCTGGCCCATCTTCCTCTAGTCCTGACCTCTTCCCTTCAGTGGTCCACACTGGGGCAGCCACTGCAGATTTTCTAAAACATCTGTCTGGTCATTTCCCTTTTCTTTTCTTTTTTTTTTTTTTTTTTTGAGACAGTGTCTCACTATGTAGTCCAGTCTGGCCTGGATTCATTATCCTCCTGCCTCAGCCTCCTGTGTGCTGGAATTACAGGAATAAGCCATCACCTCTGGCTTCCTTATTCTTTACTCTTACTATCACCTTCCCCAGGAAGCCTTCCCTGACCTCCCAGATGAGGTTTACTTGCTATATTTGAGTTCCCATGCACTCTGGTACTCAAGTCTTTTTTTTTTTTTTTTTTTTTTTTGAGACAAGACCTTGCTAAGTCACTGAGTTTTTGTAGCCTGGGCTCAAATTTGTAATCTTCCTGCCTCAGCCTCTTACAGTGCAAGGTTTACAGATGTGCACCACAAAACCCAGCTATATTTTTTTGAGACAGAGTCTTGCTGTGGAGTTTAGGCTGGCCTTGAACTTGCAGCAGTCTTCCTGCCCCAGCTCCTGAGAGCTGACATTACAGGCATGCACTACCATGCCTGGCCTACTCAGGCACTTATAATGGCGTGTTTGTCTGACTGAAATAGGAGCAGGGTTTGTTGTGCTTACACTTGGAACCTTGGCACTGAGCAGTTAGCACCTGGCCTGGAGTGATTGATTCTCCCCTAGGGACTGCTATTAAGATTGATCCTCTCTTTATGAGCTGCCCATTGTCTGCCTCTGCTCACACCATTCTGCCCTTCTACAAATCCAGTGCATTCCTCAAAGGCGGGATCCACAGTTTCCCCCACCATGAAGTCTTCCTTGATCTTCTGATTCCTGGAAGGTCAGACCTGACATCCATGGAGAGCATCTAGCCAACCATATAGACAGACAAGGGGCCCATGGCCCGAGAGAGAGAGAGATGGGTCTTGCCCTAGGTCCCCATCACAGCCAGTGGGGGGCGGAGGTCAGGCTGGCGTCCCACATGGTTAAGGAGCTGGAGAGCCATGGTGATGGCGCTGGTCGCCAGCAGCCAGGCCAGCATCAACTGGAAGGCTGGATGCTGCAGCTTGATGTCCATGTGAGTGATGAACTCGTGTGGCCCAGGCATCCTGGGAGAGGGCGGAGACTTTCTTCAGGCAGAAGTCACCACACACGGCCTCCACCTGGGCATTTACTCTCAGTGAATCTCTGTGGGCAGCTGCTGAAGATCCTGGAACATCGGCGTCGATGCAGAGCATTGCCGCCAGCCCCCACAGCCCTCCCGTTGTTACCCACGTGCTTATGATGTTGTGGTGGCTGATGAGCATTTGCTCCTCTGGCCGCTGAAGGGCTGCTGTGTGGTCCTCTGCAGGAGAGAGGAGCCGGGGTAACTGCTGCCCCTGGCCACCTCAGTGGGGGAGCCAGGCAGGGGCCGCCTACCAGCATGGTGCAATGTTTGACATCGTGTCTGTCTTTTGCTGCTACCAGGTTATTGCTACTCTCTCCCCTCCCCTCCTTCAAAGCAACTTTGCTCCGGGCAGTTTCAGCCTCGCAGAGGTGGCTGTGACCTCCAGCCTTCCTCATTCTATCAAGTCTTTCCAGCTGGACGAGCCCTTCCCACTGCCCCCTGGCACCCACAGAGTGAACCAGGGACATCTGCCAGCAAGGGGCTGCTGAGCCGGGCTGGGCTCAGAGCCAGAGGCCGATGAGAATAGGCCAGGTGTCCCGTGTGGCCTGGATGGAGCCAGGGGCCACGGTCCTACTCTGGATGTAGAAGCTGGAGGCAGGGCTGAGCTGAGGAGAGGAGATGCCCTGCGCCAGCACCTTTCCTCCCCCAGGGGCGCCCCCACCTGTACCCCCCTGCCCTTCATCTACCTGTCCCCCCTCCCAGCTCGGGGCTGCACCCCTTGTCCTTGTTTCTCCACCTGCCAAATCAAAGTTTTCCACTTGTCCTCACTGGAAATAGGGCAGGGGAGCACCTCTGGCCTCCCAGGGGCTGGGGAGGGGTGGACGTGGGTTAGGAGCCTTCCCTAGCCGTGGACCACAGCCCTTCGCCCTGGCAGGCAAGAGCTTCAGGTGCAGCCATGGGTGCACAGGGGGTTCGTCAGCCACACTGGGGCCGAGAGCATTCACCCCCTTCCTTCCAGTCCTCTCTGGGAAGCAAGTTCCTGGCTCTAAAGTAGAGGCACACATGGATGCACTTCAGAGAAATCGACTTTATTTGCTGGAAAAACACATCTCATTTAAATAAACACCTGTCCAGAACCAGTTCGAGGAAATGAGCACTGCTGAGGGACAGTGGGGGTCAGGCTGTGCCCCTCAAATCTGAAATGGGGGGGTTCTCAGGAACGAGGTGGCGAAAGCTCACTTTACCCCACTCTAGGGGAGACAGGAGCAGAAATGGCATTGGCACTATTGCCAGCCCTGAACAGAACCTAGCCGCCCCAGGTGTGTCAGAGGCTGGGGATGAGGTGGTCCTCAGGGTCAGGGGTCAGGAGCTAGGGTGCTGGCCAGGGTCAGAGGTCAGGAGGTTGGAGGTTGTTCTCTGGGGTCAAGGGGCAAAGATGGGAGGGCTCCTCAGTGTTAGAGGGGAGGGACTGGGGAGACTGTTCTCCGGAGCCAGAGGTCAGGGCTTGGGAGCTGGCCTCCGCGGGGACCACTCCCCAGGCCCCCAGGCAGTCTGAGTACAGCTCCTGGTTCTGCTCCTTCCACCTGCGAAACTTCTCTGCGGTCAGCTCAGGGTCACCCAGCACTTCGTCCAGGGCCTGCAACTCCTGCATCTTTGCCTGCCCGGGGGACAGGAGGTAAGAGGCCGTGATCACCCAAGGAGGGGGCAGGGCCCCAGCCCAGAGCTAAGTCCAGAGTCCTACAGCTAGAACCCAGCACCTGGCCAGCCTGGCACGAGGAGAACACAGAGCTGGGCTCAGTCCACAGCTGAGCCCAGGGCAGAGCCAACGGCAGTAACTGAAGCCTGAAACCCACAGGCGGGTCCCCGGCCGCGCCCGGCGTCCCCAGCTGACCTTCAGTGTACTCTGTAGCGCCCGCACGCGGTGCACTCGCTCGTTGAGGTGGGGGTCTCGATTGCGCCGCATGAAAGAGCTCCGCCACTCCTCCTGGGTCAGGGGCTGTGGCTGGCCCAGCAGGGACACGCCGCCCTGCCTCAGCCCCCGAACCATTCCTTCCAGTGCTCCCTCACTGCTGTCTGTGGGGGCAGGGAGCAGGATGAGGCAGCGCCCGCCGCAGCCCCCTTCCACCGCCCGCTCGCGGCTCGGCGCAGCACCTGTCAGGGCAGCCAGGGAGGCCCGCAGGCTGCGCTGCGTCGTCGGGGAGGCCGCGGGGGACATGTCTCCGTGGAGCGGACTCCAAGACTGCGCTGGGCTGGGCTGAAAGTGGGGAGAAGGAGAAGAGGGCCCAGCCTGAGCCCCTGGTCCTTCTGTCTACCCCCACCCTCCTACCCCAGAGCAGTCCCCACTCACTGAGGCTGAGCGGGACCCGGTGTCCTCGTCATGGTCCTCCCCTTCTGTTTCACTGTAGCAGTCTAGGGTGGGGAGCAGCAGTTGCAGAACACTGCAGAGGCCCTAACGAGATCCAATTTCCTCTTCCCGCTCCTGTGAGATACCTACCTTCTTCTCGAGCTGAGGGGGTCCGGCCTGGAGACTGGTACTTGGAAATGCAGGTGATGAGGTGCCGTACCCACCTGTGGAAGTGTGAACAGGGGCTCATACATGTTAGGCAAAAACTGCCCTTATGCTATATCCCCATCCCTTTTCATTTTTTGAGACAAAGACTCCCTAAGTTGCCCAGGCTGGACTTGAGTTTGAGATTCTCCTGCCTCAGCCTCCTCAGCAGCCGGGATTATAGGAATGCACCAGCAGGCCCAGCTCAACTTCTTTTTCATCAGAGGCCTGGAATTTGATCCTAACTCCCAAGTGCTGAGGCTGGGAGCTTTATGGGAGTAGGGAAGGGGTGGTGGCACTCACATGCTCAGATCAGAGAGGGTATCAGCCGCAAAGACAAAGGGTTTGTACACCTCATGCGTGAGTTGGAACACACTGCCAGGGAGCAGAAGGGCATCACTCAGCCTCCACACAGCTGTGCCCATCCAGAACCCAGACAGGCTGGGCCAGGAATCCCACCACCTGCCATGCAGCCACCCTACCCACCACTCTTTCTTGCCCCGCCCCCCAGCCCCGCCTCCCCCAGGACTTAACTATTTTTTCTTCTGATCATGTCCACTTTCCAGACTATAGTTGGAGATGTTGATGAGGCCCTGGGCCTTTTCATCCTGAGATGTCAACAGCATAGGGTCAGCTTGGAGGCTGGGTACCCTCAAGGCCTGGTCTGCTCCTTAGTTACCTCTCGGGCTCCCAAGGGAAGTGGAGGGGAGAAGGGGTTTCCTGGGCTGTAACCAAACCACAGCTCTCTGTTTCTGGGGCTCACGACAGGAGGTACCTCTGAGCCAGGAAAAGGTCACAAGGACATCCACAGAAAGCCAGTGGCCGAGGATGGCAGCTCAGTGGTGGAGCACTTGCCCAGCATGTGCTAGGCCCTGACTTTGATCCCCAGCAAAGGAAGGAAGGAATGAAGGGTGGAAGGAAGGGTGGAAGAAAAGGAAGGAGGGAGGGAAGAAGGAAGGGGGAGGGAAGGAGGGAGGGAAGGAGGGGGTGGGGAGGGAAGGAAGAAAAAGGGAGGGAGGGAGAAAGGGAAGGAGGAAGGGAGAGGCAGCCAAGAACAAGCCAAGAAAGGGGAGCCTGCTTATGCATTTGTTCCCTTGTAGAGACCCATGAAGCTGCTTCAGACCAATGAGCTGTGCAAATGCCTGTCTTCTTCCTGATTTTCTTTCCTCTTTCATCTGACCAACACTCAGGTATTGCTTTCTCGGAGAAGCTTCTGGACTCCTCCCGCTAGAAGGGGCCTCTCTGCTGGGCTCACACACATCTCTTAAGCTTTACCTCCACCTTAACACGTGTCCCCCACTGTCCTTGAGAAGGTCTGCATCCCTCTCCCCTGCCAGCCTCTCAGTTCTGGAGGGACAGAAACCGTCCAGTTATCTCTTGTGTCCTCCGTGTCCAGAGCTGGATTAATGTTGAGTGAAAAAATGGTCAAATCATCCATCACTAGGCTGGACAGAATATCAGGAGGAGGAGGACAAAAGGACAGAATAAAAGCGACTTCCTCTGTATTTTCTAAGACACCTTCTCCAAACTTCTTTTTTGGGGGGTACTGGGAAATCAAACCTAGAGCCTTGCATTACGCACACACCGTATTGCCGAGCTATGACTTCAGCCCCTCCAAACTTTTTTGTTTTGTTTTGACATTGTCTACAGTGTTACTCTGTAGTCCAGGCTGGCCTCAAACTTGTTATGTAGCCCAGACTAGCCTTGAACTTGTGATCCTCCTGCCTCAGCCTCTTGAGTGTTGGAATTACAGGCATGCACCACTATGCCCAGCTCTCCCCAAACATCTTTTACACACATATGAACGCGTTTCTTTCCAAAGAGCCATCCCCATTTATAGATGGGAACGCCGAGGCCTTGGAAGGTCTGGGGCCCACCGCTGATGACAGACGAGAGTAGATGGGGGAGACAAGAATCAAATCTCTGAAGCAACTCACTTGCTAGCTATGTGAGTGTGTGTGAGGGGTCTCACCTGGGGCTGCCGGTACCAGTATAGCATGTGTCCCTTGAGCATGAACCAGCAGCGGCGCCAGCGTGGACCCATGAAGCCCCCGGGTGTCTTGCGCAGCAGGAGCCAGCCATCACAGTCCGGCCGGCCCAGCTCGCGGCAGGACACCCGCCGCCGGCTCAGCTTTGTCGCCACGCCTGCAAGAGCACAGCAGGGCCGGGGTGGTGAGAGGCGGTGAGGTAGCCCCGCTCCCCAGACCTCCCGAGCGTCCCCCTCTGAGATGTCTGAAGCCACACTCTGGGCTCAGAATGTCACACACGTCATCCCTGAGGCAGGGAGGGCTCTTTCAGAGATGAGTCAGCTGAAGATCGAGGGACCAGGCATCGGGTCAAAATCACAGAGCTGATAAAAGGCCCTGGCTGGGAGCACGATCTGTCTGACCCAGATCACAGGCTGTGAGGGAAGCGGGTGGGGCACTGTCCCAACACAGGAAGATTTCCGAGAAGTCCTCAAATGGGGGGCCTCCACCCACTCAGGCACTCATACCTTTGGATCGCTTCTGACCAAGGGGTGGATGCTGAAAGGAATGTGCAGGGGTTAGAGAAGGTCTAGGTCCACAGCCCACATCGCTCCTTGCTGATCCCCTGACCTTACCTTGTCAGGGGGTCCTGGGGACCCGGGAGTCTCCGCTATTCCTGCTGGGAATGTGGCTGGAGAGGCAGGGGTGGTGGGCAGGGGCTCGTGTTCAAGGCAGGTAGAGTCTGTCAGGGAGGGAAGCGAGGGGGAAGGTCCATGGGCCCAGTCCCAGGCCTGGGGCGGGGTGGTGGTCAGAGCCGTGTGCCAGTGCCTTGCTGGGGAGAATCTGTCACCTGCTGGGGCTTTGACACTCCCTGTCCAAGCAGGGCTGGGCGTAGGATATGGGTCTGAAGTCGGGTCGAAGGCGAAGTCTTCTTCAGATGGGACCCTGCGAAAAGCACGCAGCGGTGAGATGAGCCCATGGTCCCCCCACCAAGGGACACCCCAGGGCCGAGTCTGGTACCTGGAAGACAGGGGAGCCACAGCCAGCGACGGGCTTCCCAGGTGAGGGGAGTCCAGGGGTGTCTGGGGAACCATCAGAATCAGGGTTCTGGAGCCGACAAGAGCAGTGTGAAAGCAGGGAGGGGTGGGGGGGGCTGGTTACCTGCGGAGGGGTCTCCGGCACCGGAACCTTCTTCAGCACTAAGCTGACCCCGGCGGGCTCCCTCAGCAGCTCCCTCACCACGTTCTTATGGAGCCAGCCCACCTGGGGAACAAGGACAAGGGACGGGGCAGGGACACTGGGCTGGCATCAAGCTGGGCAGGGGGCTCTGAAGCAACCCACCAACACTTGCCCTTGCACTTGGAGCTCTCCCTGAGCTTCCTCCTACCCCGCCTCCGGGGAGCCTCTGTAAGCCCCTTCACCTCGGCTGTGCGGAGGAAGGTGAGAGGGCCTCGGGATGCGCGGCTGGCAAGGGCATGGGGCTCTCACGTGGAAGCCAGTTCTGAACATCCTGGTGGGCAGCGTCCACAACCCTGTTCTTGCCAAAGGGCAGCACCCTGGGCCGCTTTCCCCACCCACTAGCCCAGGGCTCCACTCAGACCCCGCCTCACTCACCACCACCTGCTCGTTGATCTGGACCACCTCATCTCCAGGCAGGATCTGCAGGTGGGAGTCGGTGGGGACCTGGGATGGGGGAGTGGGACCCAGAAAGTGGGCTCTCTAGTGCCTGGAGCCAGTGAATGGGCATTCAGGGTGGGTGGCTAAGAAGGGGTGGGATCCTACCTGGGTGCCCACGCAGGACACAAAGTGCAGGCAGTTGGTGGTGGTTTGGATTTGCAGGCCCTGCAGAGGCAGAGGCTACAGTCACTGAGGGCTTGGTGCCAGCAGGGCCAATGGGCCCCAGGACTCTACAGTGGGTAGAAACGGGGGTGGGAGTAGAACTGGCCCCAAGTTGGCACTGCCCCAACTTGCTGCTCGGCTTTGGGCTTCCCACTCCTCCCTGGGCCTCTGCTTCCTCCTCTGAAAAGGTCAGAGGGAAGCCAGGGTCACTGATTTCTGAGATACCAAGTTCACAGACTTTCCTGAATGCAGAGGGACAGGACAGGACAGAACAGGGGCAGGGCTCGGGGCTCTGGACTTCCTAGCCAGTCAAGATTAAAGCAATAAAGCTCGTATCTTTTCCTCTCTCCTAATCTGTCCCCGAGACCCTGCTAGGCCTGTGTCAAGGGTTGGAATGTGTAACCTGAGACCATACTGCCACAGCCCCTCAGGACCAGGGAAGGGGCTACAGGTAGACCCTGTGGGTTTCCTGGTTTTTTTGGAACTGGAAGTTGAACCGAGAACTTTGTACATGATGGGCAAACACTTTACCACTGAGCTACACCCCCAGTCCTTTTTAAAGTTTTCTGTTTGTTTTGCTTTTTTGAGATAGACTCTTGATATGTAGCCCAGGCTGGCCTTGAGCTTGGGATCCTCCTGCTTCAGCTTCCCAAATGCTAGGATTGTAGACATGCACCACCACACCTGGCAAAATGAGTCCCTAAGTGTTTTAAATTTTTGAGACAGGGTCTCACTAAGTTGCCCAGGTTGGCTTTAAATTTGTGCTCTTCTTGCCTCAGCCTCCTGACTGACGAGGATTACAGGCATGCACAGCTGTGCCCTGCTGGACCTCCATTTTAACACCTGTGCACAATAGGCTTCCAGCCAGCAGTAAAGGACGCTGGAGACCCCAGAGCAGTGATGGCGAACCTTTTAGAGACTGAGTGCCCAAACTGCAACCCAAAACCCACTTATTTATTGCAAAGGGCCAACACTGAAATTGAACCTGAACACTGAGGTTTTAGTTCAGAGAAAACAACTGTTATCCAACACTCAGCTTCCAGGGGCGAACTGGCTCGAGTGCCAACAGAAGGGCTCTGCATCCCTGCACAGCACACATGCCACAGGTTCACCACCACTGCCTTGGACTATATCTCAGGGCCTAGACAAGGCTGCCCGGGGCTCAGAAGTGAGGTGCAGGTCAGGGCTCACCGACGGGTCGTCCAGCTGCACCTGCTGTAGCACAGCCTTCTGCTCCAGCAGCTCCTCTGGGGTGCAGCTCAGGATGTTGTGACAGATTCCAGACACGTGGCTGCACTGGGGGAGGGGCAGGTTGTACGTCTAAGCCTGATTCCACCCCCTCCCCATTCCCCCTCCGCCCCCACTCACGATCCTCAGGACTTTGCTCTCCTTGTCAGCCTTTGGGCAGTCCTGGAAGCAGAATGAAAAGTTGGAGCCTTTCCTGAGTAAGGGTGGGAGAGGGCTGCCTTTTCCTAAGAGCATGGGAGGGGGATCCTCTCTGTCCCTCCCAGCTTCCCTATAGGGCTTCAGAGTTTCAACCCCAAGTCCTCATTCCCCCGACACCAGCCTCCCAGGAGTCACCACACGTGCATGCCCTCTCCCGCCACCCCCTCTCGGCTGGCAAGCTTCCTGAGCTCCTCTGACAAGGAGGAGACCCAATGCCCCATCGCCCCATACCCAGCAGCAGGGCCTCTTCTCCTCCTGCGCTCGCTCCCTTGCCCCAGTCCTCACACCTGACCCTGCTCTGATTCACAGGTTATAAAAAGCTCCTGCCTGGTCTGGCCTCCTAGGCATGGGCCGAGCCTGGCCCCTGTCCTCCTACCTCTTGCAAAGCCTGGCTCAGCTCCCCACACAGCGCCCCGATCTCCTGGCAGGCTGAGAAGTCGTTTAACTGGGAGAAGAGGAACCTGGCCGGGGAAGCATGGGTCAGTGGTTCAAGCACTGCGATGCAGCACGCTGAGCCCATTTCTCACCCGAGGCCTGGGGATGGGTCTGCCCTGACAGGTTTTGCTTTGGAGTAAAGGAGATGACGATACATCTAAGAGCTTGGCACGGAACTTGGTTTTTCATGCCCCTGCTCCATGCAGGCCCTGGCTTAGGCATGATGTTGAACAATAGTTATATCGATACTTTAATTTCAGCTGTCATGAGCACTGTGAAACCTACAGCTCTGACAGTGGGTAACAGGGGAGGCTTCCCTGAGGAGACAGCACTTGAAGTGAGACCTACAGGACAAGTGGCAGCCGGTGAGGGGGCAGGGAAGTTCTCTAGTAGCCATCAATAAGACTGTTGTGATTACAAACCCGAGGCGGATAGGGACTCAGGCGGCCCAGTGCCCCTGCAGACAGAGTGACTTCTTTCACCTGCTCTGCCAAATCTCAACAAGAGCCAAGCTTTGTTTTTCTCCCAGGCCCTAGAGGAGGCCATGATGGACAGCGCCCCCTCACCGGTCACCCCAGCCCAGGTACCTGTTGAGCCAGAAGAGGACAGCACGGGCCTCACGCACCAGCTTCACAGCCGCACTGAGGACTTCAGTGGGGATCTCAGCGGTGTCCCCCAGGCATGCTTGGAATAAGCTCTGGAAGGCCTGGGTCCCCTCCAGCAGTGCCTCTGCCAGGCTCTGCAGGTTCTCTGTCTGTAGCCCAGTGCTCTGTGGCAGAAAGGGACAGGTCACTGCTCTCGCAGCAGCCAGCCCCCTGCAGGGACCCTCACCACACCGGTGGATGCTGCAACCAGTGTGGCTGGCGCTCACTCACCAGGGCCCGGAGCTGTTCCACCCCTTCCAGAATGAGCTCCTGGTGGCCTAGAGGCCACACTGTCAGAGCCTCCAGGCCTCGGGGGCACAGCTGGAGCAAGTACTTGCCAGGCAGCTCCCAGTCCTCAAAGGGATAGTCCTGTAGGGAATCGTCCAGGCCTGGAGGGACCGCAGGGGTCAGTGTGAGTGTGTGTGCGGGTGTCCTGACTTCTCAGGCCGCTGCTTTATTCTTGCAGAGCCCTTTTCCTTTGCATCTGTTGAAGGCCATATAGAGCAGTGGCTCTTGGTCTTTGGAGCAGCAGCAACAGCCACCTCACTGGGGAACTTGTCAGAAATCCCAGGCTTTCCCTACAACTGCTGAAGCAGGTGCTACTCAGGGGCGGGGCCTAGCAGCTTGTGTTTTAACAAATCCTTCAGGTGACTCTGATGTTCCCTCAAATCTGAGAACTAGTAAATGCCAGGCATGGTGGCGCATGCCTGTAATCCCAGCACTCAGGAGGCTGAGGCAGGAGGATCATTGCGAGTCTGAGACCAGCCTGGGCTACACAGTGAGCTCAAGGCCAGCCTGAACTGCAGAGTGAGACCCTGTCTCAAAAAAAGACAAAAAAAAAAAAAAGAGAACTAGTAAAATAGAGCAAAACTGTAGGGCCTTTGGAGTTCCATGTTTGGGTTCATGGTAGACAGGTAACAAATAAAAGCTATCACATTATTACTGCAAACTCTATCACGACCTACAAGGCCCTGCATGACTGGACCCTCCCACCCCCACGGCCTGGCCAATGTCCCAGCACAGCCCCTCCAGCTCCACACTTCAGACCCGGAGCACCAACCCCTTGCAGCTTCTGGAATTCCTTTGCCTCAGGTTCCCCGCATGTGCTATTCCTTCTGTCTGGACTGATATTCCAGCTCCTTCACTCCTTAGGTTGGGTTGGGGAGCCCTTCCTGATGTTCTCACCATCCCCTGAGCCTCCACACACTCCGGCACTTGACCAGTCTCTCCCACTTTATCACAGCCTCTTAAAAGATCAGGCCTTAAATACCATTTGTCTCTAGACTCCAGCCTGTGTCTGGCACAAGCTGACATTCAAAAATGAGAAAAATAATCCACTGAGAGCTTACTTGTGCTGGGTCAAGTCCCCCTCACCTTTCAGAACTGGGGATTGAATCCAAAGGCCTTCAAATGGGCTACATCTTCAGCCCTTTATTTATTTATTTATTCATTCATTCATTCATTTTTATTTTGAGATAGGGTCTCATCAAAGTGCTAGATTGCCCAGGCTGGGCTTGAACTTATGATCTTGTGCCCCAGCCTCTCAAAGTGCTGAGATTACAGGTGTTAGGTACTATGCCCGGCATGGGCCAGATTTTAAGGGCTTTTCACATATTGAAACATGCGATCTTTGCTGCGTTTCTAGTAGATGGTGACTACTCTCATCACCATTAAACAAAGGGGAAAACAGATGTGAATGGAGATTTGGTAGCTTGTGAGCTCATGGAGGAATTCTTCCCATTCTGAAGCAGGCTTTGTTGTGGGGAGTGCGCGTGCATGTGTATGTGTGTGTATGTGTGTGTGTGTGTGTGTGTGTGTGTGATCAACAGCTCTCCCTCACTCCCTGTGGCATTTAAGAGCACAGGATTGAGAGTTCATGACCTTGCTGCTTCCAGGCTCTTGAGGAGCTTCCTTCCCAAGTCCAGCTAGTGGCGGCCTCTCTCCCAGCAGACCCGACACTGTCCTACACATCCTAGCCACACCATGACGGTCTCATTTTGTCCACTTCACAGAAACTGCGGCCCGGGCCACAGAGCTAGCGGGTGTCTGCAGTGTATGTCTCCCGGTGGTTTCGGCTCCCAGGCCCTCTCTCTGGGGCGGTATCACCCCCTTCAGTCCGGCTGGGGCTTCTGCTTCTCTCACTGGGAGCTCAGACTGGGGAGAAGGGAAAATGACACCGGAGCTGGCCCTGCTCCAAGACTGAGCAAATCACTTCCAGCTCTGTATAGTTTCTGCTCTGAAAAATAGGTTTAACAGCGGGCCGCTGGTCCTGGGGCATGGGGAAGATGGAGACCCAGGAGGCGTGCGAGGGAAAGGACGCCCTTCTCTTTTCCTCCGCCCGCCTCCTCTTCGCCACCCTGTGCCCTCTTAGCATGTGGGGCGGTGGGGGAACCCAGGTCCTTCCTTCTGGGTTCCTGGGCTCCCCGGGGTCATCGCGTCCATCTGCCCAGACAGTACCTGGTACGCGGCAGACGCCTTGTAAATACTTGTTGACTGACTAACAGACTCCGCAGACTTTTGTTTTCCTCTCCCGACGTTCTGCCGCGGTACACCACGCAGGCTCCCTTCACCCCACCTCTGCCCCCGCCCCACCTACCTCTCAGCCAGGCTGCCACCTTCCCGGGGGTCCACGTCTCCACGGGATCCATGCTGAGCTCCGCCCGCAGCTTCCCGGCCGGTGCAGGAATTTCCGCTCTCAGAGGCCGGGTCCCGGGCGGGGCAGGGCCGGGGCGGGGCCGCCACATACCTGGGCCCGGTAGTCGCCCAGGTGAGGCACTGCCGCTGCCATTGGCCCAGCACCTGTCCACCTCCTGCCCCTCCCTCCAGCATCTTAATGAGGCTTTGGGTACTGGGCACCCGGCCAGGCGCCACGGGTGTGACTCCAGGACCTCAGAGCTGACCTGAGATGCCCACGCAAACCGGCCTCATAGACCAGAGGGGGCCCTGACCCTGGGGCTCCCCCAAAAGGGTAAGCGATAAGCGCAGGGGCAAAGCACTGTTGACCCCAAGCAAGAGTCAGGGGGTCAAACCCATGACAGTTCTTGTTAGCAGTGCCACCCCGGTCAGACCCCAGCCTCTGTGCCTCAGCCGGGTCTGTGACCCTGCTCCTGAGGGCGTTTGCAGAGTGTGTGAGTGAGCAGCTCTAAAACCTTTACAACTGGAGGCTTTATCCCTTTTATTTCACACTGTGATGCCGGGGACATAGCTCAGCGGCACAAGCACCCGCCTGGCAAGTGCAAGGTACTGAGTTCGATTGCAGGTACAAAACAAAAAATATTTCACACTTCAGCAGCCTGGGGAGGCTTATGGACCCCTTTTCAGAATAACATTTATTTTTTTTTAATTGAAATATTTTTTGAGATGGAATCTTGCTAAGTTGCCTTGGCTGGTCTCAGATTCCTGGGCTCCAGTCATCCTCCCACTTCAGTCTCCCAGGTAGCTGGGGCTGCAGGTACAACACCATGCCTGACTAGAATAACACTAAAAGATGCCCCAACCACACTTTTCTAATAAAAATATGTACTTTAGCATAAAGATAGCCTAGTAGCTGCCCTGGGAGAATACAGGCAGTTATCTTTGTGTTCACCTACTTGCTATGATGAAGGGCAAGGTGTATGCACATCCGTCACAGTGTAAATGAGTTTTATCCATGTTATGCACCATATTACATTTTTGTATGTTTATAATTAGTTTTCGTGTGTGTGGTGCTGGGGATCGAACCCAGAGCCTTGTGCACACAAGGCAAAAAGCTCTACCACTGAGCCACATCCCCAGCCCTATAATTTGTTTTATTAAATGTTTTCTTTTGATTTTTACATAGAATTAGCCCACTTCAATACAATGTCACATGGAAATCTGCTTTTTTATTTGTTTGTTTTCTGTTACCAGGAATTGAACTGATGACCTTGTGCTTGCCAGGCAGGCACTGTGCCGCTGAGCTAAATCCCCAGCCCCAGAAATCTGCTTTTGCAACTTTGGGAGGAGGTTGAAAGTCATCAGGTGACTCGGCTCCCAGTGATGACTTAGATCGTGTCAGCCACAGAAGTAGCAAGGTATGACAGGTGGAGAAGCACAGAGTGAAGACCTTGGTTTGGATGAGGAGGAAAACAGTAAGGTACATAGATACTGACTAGTCAAAATGCTACGAAATGGTCATGTATAGCTGCACGATCCAACGTTAGAACTAGGTTGGAAAATGTTATTAGGTTCTTGCCAGGGGTGAAACCTATGGAATGCCAACACTGCAATTCAATGTTGGAAATTGTCTGTAATGAATGATATGCTGCAAGATGTTTTGAAATACACTAATAATAAAATACAAGTAAAACATTCTATATGCGTCAATAGCAACACACAGAAATATATATATCATGATACCTCACTACCTGAACTAAAAGCCTTCATGGCAGGACTGTATCATTGTAATGATCAGAATCTAAGGGACTCATGTAGAAGTGATAGATGTGGCATTAAGATTTTCAGAACAATACTGACACTCAAGAGATTTAGTTTCTTTCAAAACTGCCCACGTTTTGACAACAAAAAGACCCACCAAGAAAGAAAAATTCTGGCGCACACCTGTAATCCCAGCACTCGGGAGGCTGAGGCAGGAGGATCGATGCAAGTTCCAGACCAGCCTGGGCTACAAAGTGAGCTCAAGGCCAGCCTGAACTGCATAGTGAGACCCTGTCTCAAAAAGACAAAACAAAAGATAAAAAGGGACCGGGGATGTAGCTCAGTGGCACACATGCCTGCCTGGCAAGCACAAGGTCCTGAATTTGATTCCCGGCACACACAAAAAAGTTTTGGCACTATATGTCAAGTAAACCATCCAAATATGGTATAAAAATATATGCCCTGGTAGATGCAAAGACATTTTAACTTTGAACTTAGAAATTTATACTGGAACTCAGCCACTAGGTCTTCATTTGTGCAGTAACAAACCATATGCCATTATGAACAAATATGTTCCATCTATTCAAAAAGTAATGCAATGTCACATTGGATAACTGGTTCACTAGGTACCCATAAATGTTACATTGGCGAAAAAACACCAGTTGATCAGTACAGGAACTATTTACAAGAATAAAGTGGAGATTCCTTAAAAATGTTGCAAGAGAGTTGTATAGTACAATCTTTGTTTTTCAGAACAACATAACATTGACCTCCTACATGGCAAAGAAAAACAAAGTAGTATCGATACAGTCACCATTATACCAGATGGTAAGATTGGGGTTTTTTGTTGTTGTTACTGTTGGTGGTTTTTTTTCTTTCTTTTTTTTTTTGAGACAGGGTCTTGCTATGTAGTTGAGGCTGGCCCTGAACTCACGATGTAGCTGTGGTGCATTGACAACTGGTGGGCAACTTGTAACACCCAGCTGAACTGAGTCAGCGTGGTGCTGGGTGTGGAAGGCCCACTTAAGGATTGTTGCCAACAGCATAAAAAGAGAACGAGAGGGGAAGACGGGGAGCTGTTGATTCTCCTGGAGAAGCGTGTCGTGCTGGTTTCCTGATATGAACTTGGCTGCTCTCACGGTTGGAGGAGCTCAGGACCTCACTGTCACTGTGGTTCACTTTGGGGAGCTCTGGTCCTTACTTTGAGCACTGCTTCCTGGCTCTGGAGGGGAAGGTGTGTGCTGTTGATTCTCCTGGAGAAGCCTGTCACGCTAGCTTTCCTGACGTGGCTGTTCTTATCATCGGAAGAGCTCAGTACCTCACTGTTGCTGAGGAGGGCTGTGGTTCTTTTTAGAGGAGCTCTGGTCCTTATTTTGTGTCTCTTCCTGGCTCCAGTGCAGATCCCTCAGCCTACTGGCGCAGATCCTTGAAGCAGACTTATATGAGACACTGTCGTGGGCTCTAGGCCTCCAGTTGGGCTCATGGGAAGCACTGTCCTGGGCTCTCAGTCTTCAGCTGGACTCATGCAGGACACTGCGGTGAGATCCAGGCCCTCAGCAGGATTCTTTGCGTCTGTAGCGTGTGGAGAGATTTCCTGCACTCTTTTGTATTTCATTCTTTGGGTGACTATTATGTGTCCTGTATTATATTTTTTCCCTTGCAAACCTTGACTACAACAGTAGCCTCGGCTGGCCTCAAACTCAAAGTGATCCTCCTGCCTCATGTTGATAAGACTGATAGTGAAGCCAGGCATGGTGGTGTAGGAGGCTGAACCAGGAAGATCCTGTGAGTTCAAGGTCAGCCTGTGCTACATAGTGAGTTCAAGGCTGGCCTGGACTACACAGCAAGACTCTGTCTCCAAACAAACAGAATCAGGATGGACAGTGAATCCTCAAATGAAGCCACAACAAAGGGAAGCCAGAGTAGGTGTTATTGATGAGTTACAGAGCAACTATGTCACTCAAAACACAAAAAGTTGGCCAATGGTTGTATCTTACTTGATCCTAAACATGTCAAGCATAATGTTTCATAGTTTACAAAGGAAGTAACAAGCACAAAATATCACGGAGAAATATTCTTGGAGGATCGGGACTGGAATTGATAAGTGATTAATTATAACAGAGGAGTAATGATTTGTATCTGCCCAAAGAACTCCGCCAAAGAATTGTGGAGCAGACGAGTGAACAGACAGGCGAAATATCACAAGAACCTTGTAAGAAAACAGGACGACCAGCAAGTATGTACTACCAGAGAAGACACGAAAACAATACACCTGTGGGATCAGAGTGAGACTTGTGCATGGTTGTTGTCGTGTGCGAAGACTGCCGTAGGTGTGTAACGGTGGAAGCAAAGATTATTTCTGTGGTAGAGTTTTGTTTGTACTTTCATTGCACTTCACATAGGAATGTCTTTCTGCTGTTTTGATTTTCTTTATTTTTTGAGACAAGTTCTTGGTGTGTAGTTCAGCCTGGCCTTAAGTTCATTATGTAGCCCAGATTGGCCTTGAACTCAGAGTGAACCTCCCAAGTGCTGGGATTATAGCCGTGCACCACCACATCCAGCTATTTATAATTTAAATCTTGTAAGCAAGTGAACAGTTCATGTTGAAAATGTTTATTCTAAACACTCACTACATATTAAAAATTGTAATATTTTATTGATATTTTATTTTCCTTTAAGTACACATTGTTTACTATAATGAAACTCATAAAATTAAAAATTCATGCCAGGTGTGGTGGTGCATGCCTATAATCCCAGCACTTGGGAGGCTAAAGCAGGAGGATCACTGAAAGCTCAAGACCAGCCTGGGCTACAAAGTGAGCTCAAGGCCAGCCTGAACTGCATAGCGAGAACCTGTCTCAAAAAAACAAAACAAAACATTCATTAATAGAAATACTCCCCAAAATAAAACTGGGGAAAGGTTTAAAATAAAACAAAACAAAAGCTTACATTGAAGGCTGAGACAGGAGGGTCGCAGTGAGTTTGAGGCCAGTGAATGTCAGCCACAAAGTAAGTTTGAGGCCAGCCTAAACTACATAGTGAAACCTTGTCTCAAAAAAGACAACAACAACAACAAAAAATTACCATGATACTCCTATTAAGAGCTTAAAACATAGCTCATAGCCAGATGTGGTGGTACATGCCCATAATTCCAGAACCTGGAATGCTGTGGCAGGAGGATCACTATGAGTTCAAAGTCAGCTTAAACTACATAGTGAGTAAGACCCTGTCTCAAAAAAAAAAGGAATAAAACGTATACTTAGGATTATAAGAACAATTATTGTCAAAACATATAAAAGCTGGATGTGGTGGTGGCCCATA